GAAACAGACCGTGTCTATGAACTTTCATTTAGAAGCTTATAGTACCTGTCTATTTATAGCCTATAGTGTTAATTATTAAATTAAAGTCCTAAAAATGTCAAGGTCTTTTTGAAGAGAGATGAATTAATAGAGGGAAAGGAGACTAGAAACCTATTTAACATATTGACCTAGTCTAATCATTGACTGCTCTGAGTGGGTTGGCTTTGTTTCGATTTTAAAGGCTACTCTACATTTCTGGTAAACCACAAGGTAAAGGCTGGTCTCTGAGAAGCAGATGTTTTGCCAGTTTTGAGGCCTTGTGGCTTTCCATAGAGAAGTAACAGTATAGGCCACATGAAGCTTTTACTTCCTTTTTTTTTTTTTTTTTTTTTTAAAGTGGAGCCAATGGTGCTTTGCGCTTGATAGCAGAGTCATTGATGTACATTGACAGCAGTGGTCTGTGTGTTCACCACCAGGTGTCAAATTCATATTTCTGGAAGTAGTTAGTTTGAAATGTCTATGAGACATTCAAGCAAGTGCTCCCAGTGGGCTTGGACCATAGATTTTGCCTTAGAAATAGTAGTGAGACTTTTGGGTGATATTTAGAGCCAAGGGAGCAGTGGAGATCATATCAGGAGGGAGTTTGGAGAGCAGAAAGCCTAGAACAAAGCCTTGGGAAGACTCCAACATTGAGAGGTTGAGTAGAGAATTAAGCCAGGTGATATGAGGAAAATCAGGAGAGTTTGCTGTCATGGAGCCAAGAAGGTCAATTCTGTTATCAGAGTTCAAAATGGACCCTTTGGCTTTTAACAGTCTATTTCCACTGTGACCACCTTAGCCCAGGCCCTTGTCATCTCATGGTTTGTTTCACTTATATATCAAAAGCTTGGGAGCTCCAAGTGCCTAGTGCTATAAGGAGGCAAAGTGGTATAAAATACAATTCCTGTCTCTTCAGAGCTTATAGACTCTATGAGTACATGAGGCCTTATACAAATAAACAAAGGCCAAATGGATAGGAGGGAATGGTCAGGGAATTTTCATTTTGGAGTGGGAGGGATTTGAGGTTGGGTTTGAGGTAAACTGGAGGAGGTATCTTGAGTAGGCTGTGGAGAGGAGTAGAGAAGATAGCTCAGAGTCTAGAGTTCAGACAGAGGTTTCAGCATGGGCCAGTTGGCACTCCTGGACGTCTGGTTGGAAAGGTAGGCGGGGACAGGACCCTGAACCACCTTGAAATCAGGGCTGAGGGGTGTAAACACCACCCTAAAGAGGTCAAATAGCTATTCTTAGGTAGCAGCTGGGGGCAAGACAATGCGGGACTCATGATGAAATCTGTGGTTTTGAGAAATTCCTTGGCAGAGGCTTATAAATGGCCAGGAGGAGGAGATGGTTAATAGGCCCAGCAAATAGGAAAGAGTGATAAGGGCTTGGCCTGGGACTAGCACTGGAATGGGTAGGAAAGGAGGGCATTAAAAGACCTTTTTTAGGAAGGGTACTGAGGACTTGGTAATTTGATGTTGGGGCCAACAGGAAAGGGCAGAGTCACAGATAGTGTACCAAGACTGAAAATGGTTATCTCTGTAGACTCTTATCTCCATTTTACAGAGAGTGTGGCAGTGCAGGGCATGGATTTTGGAGCCTGGGTTTGAATTCTGCCTTTGCCTCTGAGGAGTTGGGTGACCTTGGTCTGGTTCCGTAACCATCTGTGCCTCTCAGCTTCCTTGTCTGTAAAATGGAGATAATAATAGTACTTCCTTCTAGGTTGTGAGGATTTTGAATTAATATATGTGAGGCTCCTGCCATATAGTAGGTACTTAATAACTATTAGTTGAATGGATGTTCAGAGGATTACATTGTAACAAGTAGAGGAATTAGGATCTGAACTCGTTTGCCCAGTTCTACCACATTACCCTGATGTTCCAGATTCAGCCTTTCTCAGATGCTGCCTTCATTGTGCTGGCCTCTTCTAGTGAACCTGTTGTGCGTTCTTTGGCATCAAGCCCACGTTCAGATTGCATAGTCCTGGCGTTTCACCATCAGACTCACGCCAGATTGCCCACTTCAACTTGTGTAGATTCCCCCTCTCCTATAACCCACTTCCCATTCTCTACCTTTGTCTTTCGTAGAGGGCCTCTCTCCCCACCCCCTGCCCCACCTCTGCAAATGCTGTCTGTTCTTCCCAGTCTGTGATCTGGCCTCTGGCCTGTGTCTCACCACCTTGATGAAGGCATTGTGGACTGCTACAGTCCATCCCTCTTCTTGGCTCCCTTGCTGCACTGATGAGCTGCATTTCACTACTTTATGCTTGGCTGAATTAAGCCTCAGATTGTTCTGTAATGATTTCTCACACATTTATCTTACCTGCTTAAAATGAATCAATTTTAATAAAGGTCCATGGCTACCTTTTTTTTCTTTAATTCCTCCCAGTGCTAGGTGCTCAGTAAATACTTAAAGAGTGGATTAAGAAGCATTGATTCTTATGGCTGAGGTCGAGTTCAGGTCCTCCTCACCTCACCCCTGGGTTAGTGCACCAGCCTCTTTTAACTGGTTTCTCTGCATTGCAGCTGGTCTGTCCCTAATTCATGCCATAGGCCACACTGCCACCTCAGCAGTCTCTATCCAGTCTTTTCATGGAACACTCGGGCTTAAACTTCTCTACTGGCCTACAATTAGGACCATAACTTTTCAGCCTGGCCTTGATCCTCTCTGCAACCTGATCCTCTCCTGCCTTTTCTGTCTTATCTGCTGGCACTCTATTCTGCACACCCTGTCCTCCTTGTGGTTCCCAGAATGTTCTGTTTGCCCTTCCTGGCTGACTCCTCTGCTTGAAGCTCTGCTGGAGCCCACCTGGCAGGCTCATGCTCTTCCTTGTCACTTCCTCAGCAGAGTGAATTGCGCCCTCCTAGCCCCACCCACCGTCCTTTGTTCCTCTGCTGCTTTTTTTTAGGGCCTAGAAATTGATCTTTTTACCTGTCTCCCGTGCCTGCCAGACTGGAGCTCCTTGAGGGCAGGGCAGCCTCCTTCCTCCGTATATCCCCGGCGGAGATGCTCTGCACATAGCCAAGGATGCGTGTTGATCTTATGAACGATATTTTGATCAAGTAACAAAGGTTACCCTTCTTCAGACTAAAGGAGAGCTTCTTTCTTGTGCCTTGACAGATTTTTCCTCTGAACTATACGAATTATATTGAAAACTGACAATGATGAGTCATATCTTAGAAAGGGGTGAAATCTGAAAATGCAGAAACTCCAGGAATGGAGTAGGAGGTTGCAGATCCGTTTTGCAGGCCAAGTCGGGCTCTTCACTGAGTTTGCCCGGCTGGTCTCAAACACGGGGAGGGGGAGGGACTCTCCTCCCGGTGGGCAGGTGATTTATTGGCTGGGAAGCTTCCGCGGTGATTTAGTTGTGAAACGGCGCCCTGCGAGGTGCAGGCTAATGCCTGGGCCGGGCGGGAGCGGCCGCCCACAATCCCGGGCCGGAAGAGGCCGCGGGGGGTCGTCGGGGCCTGCCCCCCATCTCGCAGCCCGGGGGCAGTAGGCGTGCATCCGTCGCGTTGCTGACTCTGCCCGCCCGGAGAGAGGACTGGAGACGGAGCGGCCTGGGAAGGGCCCCGAGTGCCGGCTCGGCCCCAGGCCCGCGGGTGCCCTCTGCTCGCGCTCGCCGAGGTAGGGAGGAAGTTTCTGTGCTTTGCTGCCGGGATTTACTCCTGTTGTTCGGAAGGAGGAAACCGAGATACCAGCGCCAGGGTCCCGGGAGGCTCTGGCCGAGGGCCCGACGCAGAGCCCCGGGGTGGGGGCCGGAGCGTGGGGCCGGCGGGCGGTGCAGCGATCCAGGCCGCCTTTTGCAGACGCCCGCGGCCGCGCCGGGCTC